GGTGGAGCAAAAATAGAAAAAAAAAAAGGAAAAAAATAAGGAAAAAATAAAAAAAATTATTTATTTATTTTTTAAACTTGTGGGGGCCATTTTTAAATACAATCAATCCTATTGCTGACTTAAAAACTTGTAATTTCAATTCCTCTCTTCTCCTTTTCCGATTCTGTCTCTATCATCTCTCTGCTAATTATATATTTCCTCAGATTCTCAGTTTCCCTACTCTACACCAACAATGGAGGATAAATCGCTTTCCATCTCCGCCGAGGAAGCTAATAACCACGGCTGGCAGAAAGTTACCTACGCCAAAAAGCAGAGAAAAAATCAGGCTACCAAAACAGCACCTGATTCCTCATCTAGGCTCCTCCTGCTTAACGGATCCGACAAAGACATTGTCTTTAAAGGCTTGGAGAAGCACGCGGAGGAGCGTCGCCGGAAATTGGAGTCGCAGAGAGCCGCCGCGCCCGTTTATGATGATGACGATCGAATCCAGGTGAGATCGAGGAGGAATCGAGGTGAAGATGACTATTTAGAGGACGATTATGGCAGTGGCGATGCCAAGGAAAACAATCCCGCGGAGGCCAATAAGAAGGAGAAGCCGAAGAAGGTTAAGAAGCCTAAGGTTTCTTTGGCGGAGGCCGCCGCTAAAATCGACGCCGATGATCTCGCCGCTTTTCTGTCCAGTGTTTCGGTAATTTATTTTTCTTTCTTTCTTTTTTTTTTGTACTGAAAAGTCTTTTTGTTGCTGTTGATATGGAATTATATAGAGACTTATAAATTTCGTGGTATCAGGAGTCGTTTGAAGGGCAACAAGACATTCAATTGATGCGATTTGCAGATTATTTTGGTCGTGCTTTTTCGGCAGTGAGTGCATCGCAGTTTCCATGGCTCAAGTTGTTCCGGGAGTCCCCAGTGGCCAAAATTGTTGATGTGAGTTTATCAGTAAATTTTGTGGTAGTTCTTCTGGATCTTTATTTTTTTATCGCCAATTGAACTTTAAACATCGAATGTTAGTATAGTTGTCTGGAAAATTTTTAGTTTATTTCATGGATTTATCCGATCAGTAGTACGTAGAGAATAAGAAAAAAAGGGGCCAACAATGTATTGCAAAAGATTGTTGTTTTATGCAGTGGATTGTAAAGTTCTTTCTTTTTCTGAACAGATTTGTGGGAAGTTTTTAAATTAATCTTTCTGTCTTCATCCTTTAAAATAAGCAGCATCCTGTGGCCTTCTCCCCACTTCCTTGCCCACGAATAGTGTTACATTTCGTTTGCATTTACACCTTTATGTGGTGTAACATATCGGCAGGGTATCTTTTGGTATTTTTGGGTTTGCTGCCCCCTTGGCTGTTTTTCCTTTTCGCTTTGCTAAATTGCTGTCGAGAAAGCTTTGAGTTTACTGATTGGACTGTTCTGGTACACAGATACCTGCTTCTCATATACCTGAGTCTGTTTATAAGACATCAGTTGACTGGATCAGTCAGCATTCCATTGAGGCATTAGGGACGTTTGTTTTGTGGTCATTGGATGGACTTTTTGCTGACCTGGCACCCCAACAACTGGGATCTAAGGCCCCAAAGAAAGGAAACCAACACTCATCTTCAAAGTCTCAGGTACATACACTTGACAGCTGATGCCTCTTCCAAGGATACCTTTTGAGTGTGAGAATGTGCCTTCTGTGATCAAGGATGCATTCTGGGAACAATATTTTGTTACATAGAGTATAAGTATTAAGTCTTTCAACTAGGATCTTCTGATTAGTTTGTTGGGATCTTTTTCTCAGATCTATGCGTTGAGAGATGGACTCGACAGTGACAGCCTATATAATAAATTTGGAGATATAAGTTGAATATAAACTTTTGCTTATGTATAATTACGTTATTGTTTATGTGCAGGTAGCCATCTTTTTAGTTTTGACCATTGTACTTCGCCGGAAACCGGATGTAATGATCACTTTGGTGCCGAAATTGACGGAAAGCTCAAAGTATCAGGGACAAGATAAGCTCCCGCTTCTTGTATGGATTGTTGGTCAGGTAGGCATATTTTTAGGATCATATATTATTATCTATTGCTGAACTTATTCCCTGTGAACTTTTGTAATTGCTAAAGGCTGAAGCTAAACCTAATTGTGCAGGCCGGTCAAGGAGATTTAGCTGTTGGATTGTATTTATGGACACGTCTTATTTTACCAATACTTGAAGGAAAATCAGGATCCAATCCACAGACAAGAGACCTCGTGTTGCAGCTTGCCGAAAGGTTTTAAAACTCTTCTATTCATTTCAGCACTTGCATCTCATTGCTCTTTACAGTGGCTTGAAAGTGATTTTGGTTTTTGATAAGTTGAATATACTATTTTACTAATCAGAATTCTGGGTGCACCAAAAGCGCGTGGTATATTGTTAAATGGTGCTGTAAGAAAGGGTGAACGTCTAATTCCACCTGCAGCACTTGAGCTACTGTTGCGTGTAACATTTCCTCCATCCTCTTCAAGAGTTAAGGTAGCATCATTTTCAGAACTTTCCAATATTGCTACAGTTTCTAATAGTAGGCCTGCCTTGTTTTTCTGTACACATTTCTATTATCTGAACGGGTACTACTAAATAGGCTACCGAAAGATTTGAGGCCATTTACCCAATTCTGAAAGAGGTTTCTCTTGCGGGCTCTCCTGGAAGCAAAGCAATGAAACAATTATCACAGCAGATACAGAGTATGGTTGTAAAAGCAGCTGCAGAAGGTAATTTCTGATTGGAAGTGAAATAATATGCTCGATTTTTCTTTTCTTTTTTTTTTCTCTTTTCTTTTTAAAGTAGTATTTGAGAAATAGTTGGTGGTCTGCAGGTATACCTGCTCTATCTCAAGAAGCAGCAAGCATCTTTGTATGGTGTTTGACTCAGAGTCCTGATTGTTACAAGCAATGGGTAAGCTTTAGTTGGTGATTTGCTCTTCCATTCATAAGATAATCTTTTTACTTATCAAAGTTTGTGTCAATAAGTCTGGTCCTAGTTAGTAATTGCATGAAAAAGTTTCTACCGAGGAAGGAACAAATTATTACCTAATATTTGTAAGAGCTTGTTGTGGTTAATGTTTGAAAAGGCTTGAAGTCTGAAGTTATCTTTTTCTGCCCATTTGGATCCAAAGCTCCGTCATGTCAGATCGATTACTTTCAAAATAGATGATGATAGAACATTTATTGGCTCCATTGACTTGTTTGTTATTTCCCTGTTTGTGGGTAATTTGTATTTGCCTCTTAAGACACCAATAATGATGCATATAATTCATTTATATCAGGACAAGATCTATGAGGATAACATACAGATTAGTGTTGCTGCCTTGAAGAAGCTTTCTGACGAGTGGAAGACACTTTCTTCCAAACAGTCGTCTCCTCAAGCACTTGTTGAAACTCTGAAGAGTTTCAGGCAAAAGGTTGGGAGTGTATTTTGTTTTCATTATTTTTCTTACGGTTGAATTAATATTTAACTGACCCATTTATGCCGATTATGTCGACAATTTCCTTTATACACACAGAACGCAAAAGTATTGAGTGGTGGATTAGATGTTTCCCTCCAAGATTACTTTAGGAATGCGGATAAATACTGTAAGACATTACTGGCGAAACTATCAAGTGGTCACGGCTGTTTTAAAATGGTGGCGTTTACGGTGGTGGTGCTGGCTGTGGGGGCTGCAGTTGTGTCCCCAAGTCTGGATGCACTGTATTGGGATAACTTGTCGGCTTTGCTAAGCACCCACACATCCTTCCGAGAAAAACCTCTTGGCCAGTGACATACAGATTTTTTTTATCTTGTTCGACTTTTGTTGAAACTAACTACAGTTTGCTTAAAAATAAAGTGGTGCACACTACACACAGAAGAGCTCTAGGCCCTCTGTAATAGGACACATGTTGGATTTTTTACTTTTTTTTTTCTTGTTAGAATACATTGGAAGCTGAAGTATTATGTTGAGAAGAATGCTTGGAAGCTGAAGTATTTTATTGAGTAGAATATTTTTTAAGCTGAAGTTATAGTCTGACGGTTCTTGATTTATTTTATTATTGGGGACTTTTCTTTTTCTTGTTCTTTTTGCGTTTATAATTGTAGAAGTTAATCCTTTAATGTAATTCAGTCCTATCTCCAATCCTCCACTGTATTGGAGACTAGAGTCTCTATAATAGGTTAAGTCAAAATTCAAGTTTCATTTGTAGCTCTTCGATCTGCATTTTATTCTATATAAAATATTATTTTAATTCATTTTTATTTCAAATAAATTAATTTATATAAATATATATATATATGTATATTCACTCTTATATATATCTATATCTATCTATATCTATATAATAAGAATCATCATTTACTAAAAATAATAGTCAAAAATTTTGGAAACATTTATTACATACCTTTTTTGGAAATGCTTCCCTACCCACGGTGGACACATGTTAATATGTCCACGCGTAGGTGGCATCCACTCATTGGTGATGTTAATATATTTTAAAAAAAATACATCACCAATGAGTGCATGCTACCTACGCGGTGGGCATATTAACATGTGCCCACCGTTGGTAGGTGAGCATTTCCCTATGCAATAATTGCTTCTCTATACAA